TTGTGTAATTAGTTATGAATTAACTTATAACAGGAGCAATTACAAGGGAGAAAACACTAGTAGATTTGCCTTTAGAAATGGTGGATGTTTGAAATGAGTTCAACGAATTTGGAAAAGTTAAAATTCTAGCCATGACTGAATTTTCTTGTATTTGTCATTTTTTTCTATTTGAATAATGTTTTCCTAACAATAACTAATATAAAGAAACAAAAAGTTGTTTTTCTAAGGAAACTTACATTTAAAAAAATTAATGTTTCTTAAGGTAAATATTTAATAGTTATCATATATTAACAATATAGTCTTAATAATGGTATAATATATGGAAACTAGAGTTAATCTTTTGTCGGACGCTTCATAAAGAGAAATCAAAGGAATTAAACCGACAACCAACATATTTGGATGCCTCTACCGGCCCCTTCGTCCGTTGTTGTTAACAAGTCTTCATATCAACACCAATAACAACCCCAAATTTGTATTTATGACAATGAAATTCCTCAACAAGAAGGAAAGAAACTTTCATGTCCAAAAACTTCAAAGATATGATACCTTGGGGCATCCAATTCAACAAGTTTCACTATAACAATTATCCTGATTCCATGGTGTCTGCTGCTCTCGTCTCTTGCCATTTTTCCTTATGTCAATCACACTCCAGTCATGCACTAATGTATCTTGGCTTTTTTACTCCTTTTTCCCCTAAGTTTGTTTCTTTATTCCACTATTGCTTTTACGATTAGTGACTTATTTAAGTATTACGTTTGAACTCGTGACTTATGGTGTTTGCCTCAGTTTAGGTTGGCATATTGAATTTGGGATCAGGTACATGACTACGTGGTGCTATAGTGGAGATGGGAGTTGATGAATATATCCAACCTCTTCACTGTATTTGTTATAAAAAAGAATCATTTTTCCTTCATTGATTAGCGACGTGCACTTCAATAAATAGTAATATGCACTTCAATGAAAATTAATGTGTACACAAGTGTGAAATGAAAAATTGTTAAAAGGTTTTGATGCGAGGAAAATCGGGTTTGTTTGGATTGTAAGTTATTTGAGATATTTTTACAGTAGCACTTTTTGTGATATGATGTATGTGAGATGAAAAGGTAATTGGGAAAGTAAAAAGGTGTATTGGAAATTGTAATGATGATGTAAGCAAATATATTTGGGGAAATAAAGATCAATCCAAACAAACCTGATATTTCCCATCATTCAAAATTTTGATGCAGCACATCTAATTGAATAACTAGACTTCAATTTGAAGCCAAACAAACATTTCTTCTACACAAAGCAAGCTACTTTACACACACATACACATATGGGTACTTTCTGTACAAGTACTCTTCAGATAGTTTTTAATTAATTTGTACCAGTTATTAAATAAATTTTCATATACGGTGTCATAGAGAAGATATTATATGACAAATTGTACTTGTCCCACCTTATATATTAAAAGAGAATTATTTTTTTCCTTCATTGATTAGTCATGTGCACTTTGATAAACCCAAGTAAGGACAATGATATATCGCAATAGTACAATTTTTTTAATGTAGCACAACTAATTGAATAACTCTACTTCAATTTGAGGCTAAATAAACATTTTTCCAATACAGATTGTGGTTTTCTGCATACAAGTTCGCGTACTTTATATCCAAGTACAAATAAAAAGTACTTTTTTTACCGTCGTTAATTAATGTATACAGGTGATTAAATAAAATTTCTTAGATGGTATCATAATAAAGCTAGTAATTGACGAATTGAATTTATTCAACCTCTAAGATACATAAGGGAGGGTTGGATTGGGTAAAGGAGAATAATTTTTTGTTCGTTGATTAGCAATGTGGACTGTAGTCAATATTGATATGCACTTTAATGTCTGTTAATATGCACTTTTGATAAACACAAGGGTAAAATAGAGAAATCACTAAAAGGTTTTCATGTGAGGGCAATGAAACATCAAATTATTGGATTTTTTTTGATGTAGTGTAACCAATTGGATAACCCAACTTCAATTCAAGGTGAAATAAACACTTTTCTTATACAGAATGAGGTACTTTACATACAAGTTAGGGTCCTGTTTTATGCAAGTATTTTTCTTACAATTGTTAATTATGTAAATTAATGATCAAATAAAATTCAAGTGGATGGCTGAATATTAGCTCCTATTTATACAATTTAGAAATAACAAATTTGCAAGATACAAATCTCATAATAATCACTAACTGATTTTTAAAATTTATTCTGCCAGTCACAAGGGAGGGTTGGATTGGGTAAAGGAGAATAATTTTTTCTTCGTTGATTAGCAATGTGGACTATAGTCAATATTGATATGCACTTTAATGTTTCTCAATATGCACTTTTGATAAACGCAAGGGTAAAATAGAGAAATCACTAAAAGGTTTTTATGCGAGGACAATGAAACATCAAATTATTGGAATTTTTTTTGATGTATTGTAACCAATTGAATAACTTGACTTCAATTTAAGGCCAAATAAACATTTTTCCTATACAGAATGAGACACTTTACATACAAGTTAGGGTCCTTTTTATACAAGTACTTTTCTTATAATTGTTAATTATGTAAATTAATGATCAAATAAAATTCAAGTGGATGGCTGAATATTAGATCCTAATTATACATTTTTGAAATAACAAAATTGCAAGAAACAAATCTCATAATAATCACTAACTGATTTTTTAAATATATTATGCCAATCACAGTGGATTTGAGATCAAAGAAGCATTTTAGGTTTACAAAATTTGTATTTCACATACAAATTAGAGTTTTTTTTTATTATTTTTGTAACAGTAGTGAATCAATTTAAGTTCATATTAATCTTAGTTAACTTGTCTAGCTTATGCTGCTTACTAATGTTGAATTCAAGATTGAACAAATTTTTTTCTTAATACAAAACCAATACTTTACATATACAACTTAGGTATTCATTTTTTTGATATAAATAATTTTATTAACAGATTGTTGGAAATTATCCAATACAATTTGATTTACATTAATGTTTTGATGGTAGGTTAAACATGCACTACAAAATATAGACATACAATTTAACAGATATAATGAATCTGAAAAATTGTATATAGATCTGAAAAGTATAAGAAATTTCAAATTTGTCTTCTAATAAATAAATTGTTGCAACTTTCTTCTATGCATATTGCAATAACAACTCAGGTAATCATTAACAATTAAGTGATTAGTGTCTAATTTTGGATTCGAATTTGGGTAACGTTTGTGCACATTTATATTCACTGGAGTGCACATTCATATTCTTCTTCTTTTTTTTTTGTCGAAACGTTAGAATCATTTCATTCATTGTAACGAGAAATTATAAGTGCAAGCAAAGGCTCGAAAGGTCTGTACATCTAGTGCTCAATAGCACTGAGGAAAAATCCATTCCTCATCCACAATAATGCCTAAGGCATGAAAACTTAAACTTTTGCTTCTTTCTATACTTTCTTCACTAACCAAGCAAAACAAGCACATGCGAAACAGCTTCTGTATGTTAAGTATGTCTTCTATGAAGGTAGCTAAACTGCTGTTGGAGGGGCTTCTGATCTTGATATGTCTCATCAATTCTTGGTTTTGAGAGTGAATCGTGATCCTACTCCATTTCTGCTCTAAAGCTTTACACAAAACAACTTGATGGCCACTGCTTCATTTATGGTTTTATCTCCCAAGTTTCTCTCTTTGAGTGCCCATTCTGCCATCAGAGTATTTGGATGCCTCCTAACTGTAACTCCAATCCCCAGCGAGACCTGACCGTACTGACTCTTTGTTGCCACCTCCAGAACAATTGCACCTTCTTCTTCAAGCCCCTGATGATGTTCTACATTGTTGGAAGTTGTTTCTCCTGTGCTTAACCTGATCTTAGTGTTCATGCTTTCCTCTTGTTCCAACTAGTCCTTATGAGCTTTAATAATTGTCCTAGCTAGTGAGCAGCTGCTTTTGTTTTCAAATTCCTTTTTGTTTCGTTCTTTCCACACTTGCCATAAAATTCTTGCAGTCAGTCCAATATGCTCCATCCCACTTGGCCTTTTTCTTGCCTCTGAAACTCTGATCCACCAACGTTTGAAATTTCCTTGTTGGTCTACAGCACCATCCCATTGTATTGGTGCAGCCTTCTATACCTCCTGTGTGTGTTGACAGTTCAAAAGTAAATGTTCCACTGTTTCCTGCTCTTCCCCACAGATTCTACACACTGGATCTCCCAATCTTGTCTTCCTCACTGGTAGTTCACCAGTTATGCATTTCCAAATGAAAATTTTTATCTTATGTTTGATGTTGAGCTTCCATAAGGTATTCCACATTTGCCTAGCTTGCTGGCTTCCTTCTGTGATACTTGGACTTGCTGCCTCTGCTTGTTCCTTCTCAGCATCTGTGCTCTCTTTCATAAGGAGTTTATAGCCTGAGTTGACCGTGTATATCCCCCCTGCATTGTGTTGCCAATAGTAGCTGTCCTCTCTCCCAGTCAAACTTAAGGGGATCTTTAAGATCTTCTCAGCATCCCTTTGATTGAAATACTTAAAGATGATGTTTCTATTCCATCTTTGATGACTGATTAACTCATGCACCATCTTCAAGTCACTACTTTGAGGTCTAAGGGAGGTTGGCTTACCAGAACTAGATCCAGGAATCCATCTATGATCCCAGATGCTTGTACTTCTCTCGTTGCCAATCTTTCTAATCATCCCTTTGTCAATTAAGCATCTGGCTCCTAGTAATCCTTGCCATATCCAGGATGCATTCTTGTGTGTCTTGCATGTTAAGATAGAGTCCTTAGGGAAGTATCTAGCTTTCAGCACTTTGCTAATCAGGAGGTTTGGTTTGGTGATTATTCTCCAAATCTGCTTACCCAGCAAAGCTTTATTATAAGCTGCTGTGTCCTTGAAACCCAGACCTCCTGCATTCCTCTTCATTGACATTTTCCTCCAAGATACCCAATGCAATTTGTTTTTGCCATTTGTTTCTCCCCACCAGTAATTGGCCATCAGTGAGCTAATGTCTTTACACAGCTTCCTTGGCAGTTTGAAAACAACATGGCATAAGTAGGCATTGCCATTGATACTGCCTTGAGCATCACTTCCTTGCCTACAGTACTTAGCAACTTATTCCTCCAATCCTGAAGCTTTCTCCTTATGTTTTCCTTGATGAACCCAAAGATCTGATCCTTTGTCCTAGAGATCACCATAGTCAGTCCCAGATATTTGCCTTGTTTCATCTCTACCATTCCTCCCAGAGAGCTGCACACTTCTTTTCTTTGCTCCATAGACATATTCTTACTAAAAAAGACAGAAGACTTATCCAGGTTGATCAACTGTCCTAAAGCCTTTTCATATGTTTTGAGAATCTTCATGATTTCAGTAGTCTGCTGCTTGTTAGCTTTACAAAAAATGAGGGAGTCGTCTGCAAAGAAAGGTGTGTGATGATAGGTCCTTGCCTACTGATCCTCAAACCTTTTATGTCATTCCTCTCTTCAACTTTCCTCAACAAGTTGGAGAAACCTTCTGATCAGATTAAGAATAAGTAAGGAGATAATGGGTCTCCCTGTCTTATTTCCCTTTCTGGAGTTACAAATCCTTTAGTTTCCCCATTGCAATTGAAAGAGTAGGTTACTGTTTTCAAGCAGTTAATAATCCAGTTAATCCATTTTACACAAAAGCCCATCTTCAGCATCATTGCCTGCAAAAAATGCCACTCCACTCTATCATAGGCTTTGGCCATGTCTAACTTGATTGCCATGTAACCTTTTTTTCCTTGCCTTTTATTTTTGAGGTAATGCATGTACTCATGGCTTAAGATTACATTATCTAAGATTTGTTTGTCTGGGATGAAAGTAGATTGGATGCTACTAATGCACTTTCCCAGAACTAGTTTCAGTCTATTGGCCAAAACTTTGGAAATGGTTTTGTAGATCACACTGCACAGGCTGATGGGTCTAAAATTTTTCAAACAAGTTGGATTCAAGATTTTGGGGTTTAGAAAAATAATAGTATGATTAATAGATTTAAGCATGAAGCCTGAACTAAAGAAAGATTGAATTGCTGGAATCAAATCCCCTTTGATAATGCTCTAGAACCTTTGAAAAAATAAGGGGGACATGCCATCCTGGCCTGGAGCTTTATCAGGCTACATGGAAAAGAGAGGTGATTTGATTTCTTCTTCCTCAACTGGTTTAGTTAGATTGGTGTTCATTTCCTGAGTAATTGAGTAGGGAATACCCTCTAGGATCTCAGACATATCATTCCTCCCTCCACTTGTAAACAACTCTCTAAAGAAGTCAGAGATTTCTGATATTACTTCCTCCTCACTTTCAGTCCATGAACCATTCTCCCTTTGCAATTTCCTGATTCTATTCTTAGTTCTTCTCCCCTTAACATAGGCATGGAAGTACTTTGTGTTTTTATCTCCTTCTCTTAGCCAGTCAAGCCTTGCTTTTTGGCACCAGAATTTATCTTCTTCCTTATAGGCTTCCTTAAGCTAGTTCTTGAGCTCAGTCGTAGTCTCTTTCTTATTAGCAGCATTTGAGCCTCTCACAGCCTCTAGTTCCTTCCCTAGCTCCACAATCTTTCTTTTAGAATTTACTTGGAAGGTGTTTCTCCATTTCAGTAGCTCTATTCTACGGTTTCTGATCTTTTTGGTAACTTTGAACATACATGAGCCAGGCTCTTCCCTCTGCCAAGCTTGCTCCACTACCTGTTGAACCCTTTCCTTTTGCAACCATATTTTATCAAAATAGAACCTTTTTTTTTCCTTTTCTCCTTCCCTGGATCAGTGTCTAAGAACAGTATGCTATGATCAGAAGCATAAGTGTCCATGTGTTGACATCTTGCTTTTTCACATGTCTAAACCCATTCATAGCTGGCCAAGCATCTATCTAATCTCTGCCTTTTCTCATTCATCCTCCCAATGGTTACTCCAAGTCCATGGGTGACCCTCAAAGCTTATAGCTATCAAGTTATTCTGATCTATAAAGTTCTTAAACTCCATTAAGCTTCTCTCCACTCTGAGAGTTCCTCCCCATTTTTCTTCATTAGACACTATGTCGTTGAAATCTCCTGCAATCATGAATCTGTCACCCCACAATCTATTTTTACCTCTCAAGACTCTCCATTGCTCCTTCCTAATCTGAGCATTACAGCTCGCATAAACCCCTATAAACCACCAGTCACATTGCTTATCAGTATCCTCTATTCTGACTTCAATAATGAAGGCTGTTAGGTTAACTTCCAGAACTTGTGTTTTCTCTTTCCAAAAAATAGCCTTACCTCTGGCCTTGTGCATAGCTTCCACCACTGCACTGTTGTCAAAATGTAAACCTCTAGCAATCCTATCAAGCACCTGTTTTCTATTCTTTGTCTCACTCAAGAAAATCAGGCTTGGAGAGAGGAGGTTATTCACCCTCAAATGGGGAACTGTCAAGGGGCTCCCCACTCCTTGACAATTCCACACCAAGGCTCTCATTTCCTTTGGGGGGCCCCATTAGGGAAGGACCCACCTCCACCTCAGTCATTCCTGCCATACCAGTTAACTCAAGTGGCTTAGTTTTTTTGCCTACTGACTCTTGTTGGTGTACTTCCTCCATATCCTCATCAAAAAACAGCATCTTCCTTTTCCCATTACCTATAAGATTAGTTTCCTGTTCATTCCTCTCTTTCAGAGGCCTTCTTGTTTTGATTGGTGACTTCAGCTTCTTGTATGACCTTTTAACTTGCTTTTTAATGGCTCCCTGCACCTTATCATTACTATGGGGCTCCTCCTGCAATACTGCCTCCAGTACTGGTATCTCTTGAATCTATTTTCTTGCTCCAGCCATCTTGAACTCATATCTCTGTCCTCCTCCATTTCCTCCACTTCTATTAGAGTCAGATTCTCCTCAACTTTGTCCTGTACTATCAGAGAGAGGTCCTGCTTTTCCTTAGTCAAGGGCTGGAAGTCATCTCTGAGAGCTCGTTCCATACCACTAGTTCCCACCTTATTTGAAGGGCCACTTTGATCTTTTCCTACCCTTATATCCTCCTGCTATTTCATTAAATCCTGATTGCTTCTAGATCCTAGACCTGTGGTCCTCAGTGTCTCCAGGAGTTTCTCTCCAGAATGCATCCTATTCCTTTCCTTCTCAACCATTTCCCCATTCTGAAACTTCTAATACCTCTTATCTTTCACCATTTCCTCTCTCACTATTCTATCCTTAGTTCGACTTCTGGTACTTCCTGCTCTCAACCAAGGGCCATGTTGGTGCTCTAGTAGGCTTCCTGAAGTAGTTCTTTGCTCTTTACACGTATGTTCCCCATGCCTTACTATTCCGCAGCTATAACAGAAATATGGGCATCTTTTATACTTAAAAGCTACCCATTTGAGTGACTCTGCTACGTGCACCAATGTTCCTCTGAGAAGGGGTTTAGACAAATCTACAAGAGCTAGCATTTTCAAATGTCTGCCCTCTTTTCCCCCTGCCTGAGGGACAATGACCTCTTTAACTTCTTTAAAAACTGCTCCTATCTTTCTCCCTACCTCCTTGGAGAGCCAATGCACTGGCAGATTCCAAATTTGTACCCACAGAGGTGCAAGCTCCATAGTTATCTTCTATCCCTTCTGACCATCTGTTCAGCACTAGGATTTGATTATCCATTATCCAAGGGCCTCCTATCACTATTCTTTCTTTCTCTTCTAAGTTGGGGATATTGAATTGGAACAAGTTCGGTCCCAGCTCCATTACTGTCAGATTCCTGGGGTAGCTCCATGCTCATGCTGCAGTCACAAAGTTCTTCACCCCCGTAAAGTTTGCAATTTTCTCTCCTATTATTCTTCCTATCAGACTTCCTTCACAATCTCTCACCCTACTATTAAGATCCTCAAGCTCCAGCTTAGCTCCAGATATCTCATTCCCCTCCAGTGAGAATTATCGTAACAACTCAGTCAGATCTCCCTCCATTGATGTACCAAAGATGCTAACGGGTATTCCCTCTACGTACTTAGGAAATTATGCCTTTTCACCTTCCAATTAGGTTAAAGACTAAGACACGAAACAAAGAGAAACAAAAAATACGAAAACAGAAGACAAAGACACTACTGGACAAAAACTACCTTACTAAAAGGAAACCAGGAAAACAGCAAGGTCAAGAGTGACTACACAACAAGAATCCAAAGAGCATAGAAAAAACAAAGACACGGCCAGACATGTACTACCTCAGTAAAGGGAGCAAGGAAAAGTAAAGGTGAATCAAGATTTACCTGGCTTTCAGCTTACCATAAAGTGTTGTTTTTAAGTTGTCTGTTGTTCCCTCTGGAGAGACCTCCTTAAATAACCCTGAGTGCGGTAGTTGAGCTGCTTTAAACTAGCATTTGGTGCAGATCAGATTGGTAGTGGTGATGTTTGTGAAATTTTTGTGCAAAAGTGCGGGTTAGTGCCTAGTGGGAAATTTTGAAAAAGTTTGAAACATTGATGAACTCCCACCAAAAGGGAGGTGAGCTCTTATACCAAGAGAGAGCTTCCTCTACACAATGAGACGATTTCCTTTGAAATTGTTTGGGTTAATTTGCTGTTTTTGCCTTATAAGTCATTTACTCACATTCATATTCACAAAGTTAGGTTACTTTTTATCCAAGTACAAGTACTTTTCTTACAATCGTTAATTAATATATACTAGTGATTAAATAAATTTTCTTAGATGGTATCATAATAAAGATAGTGATTGACGAATTGAATTTATTCAACCTCTAAGATACATGGGGAGGGTTGGATTGGATTGTAAGGGGGAGGGATTGTACGTAGGAGGTTTTGGGTTCAAGACCTCTTACTTACCCAAAAAAATCCTCTAGGATACATATTGGAAAAGAATAATTTTTTCTGAGTTGATTAGCAATGTGGACTATAGTCAATATTGATATGCACTTTAATGTTTCTCAATATGCACTTTTGATAAACGCAAGGGTAAAATAGAGAAATCACTAAAAGGTTTTTATGCGAGGACAATGAAACATCAAATTATTGGAATTTTTTTTGATGTATTGTAACCAATTGAATAACTTGACTTCAATTTAAGGCCAAATAAACATTTTTCCTATACAGAATGAGACACTTTACATACAAGTTAGGGTCCTTTTTATACAAGTACTTTTCTTATAATTGTTAATTATGTAAATTAATGATCAAATAAAATTCAAGTGGATGGCTGAATATTAGCTCCTAATTATACATTTTTGAAATAACAAAATTGCAAGAAACAAATCTCATAATAATCACTAACTGATTTTTTAAATATATTATGCCAATCACAGTGGATTTGAGATCAAAGAAGCATTTTAGGTTTACAAAATTTGTATTTCACATACAAATTAGAGTATTTTTTTTAT